GTGACAGTGCAAGCGCTTTTTCTAGATCTTTTCTAATTTGAAAAAGTTCAAATGCAAATATTTATTTGGTATGGGAATATTTTTAAATAGGGTTGCCATATTTTTACTAAAACTAAATATAAAAATTTGAATTTTGATAAAATCATAAAAATGTTGCATAAAAAAATCCAAAAAATATTTTGAAATTAATTTATTTTCGTTGCGTGACGTATTTAAATATATATTAATGCGTTACACATTTTGTGTCTTTTTTGCGCGCATTTTAGCATTTCTAGTAAATTTCCCAGGTCATAGATTTTTATATAAGCATAAAAATATTTGGTAGCAGAATTGAAAGTGGAATTTTCTGCATTCACAGTGTAAACAGACAAAAAGTAATATCAGAAAGTTCGACTTTTGGAAATCAAAACTGCTTTCAAAAGTAACTTTATATGCAAGGTGCTGCAATCTCTTTTAGAAATTCTTGAGTTTGACTTGCGCTTGCCACGTCTAACACCCACTTTAGTTTCTTTATTTTTCCTTATTTTCATTCCGCTGCACATTTATTCTCGAAAAGATCGCAAAATTTAATTACAAGTCAATTGCACTGATTCAATAACACTTCAAATGCAATGAGAGAATAAAGGAAAACTAAGTGAAGTGAATAACAACACAAGAAGAATAAGAAACTGAGCACAGCAAACAACAGTCAATAAGTAATCTGAAGAGCAACAAACCACCAAGTAAAACAACAATTTTCAACATTCAGACAACATCGCTAATAATGGCTAATAACAGAGAACAACAAAAATAACAACAGCAGTAAACACAACTTCAACCGCAACTTGAGAAGCCGCAACCGCCACCGCTGTCTGAGCGCGACGGCTGCATGGCTAAGTGCAGTGCGAGTAATGAGAAAAGTAAATAACAGCAGCAGCAACAACAAGAAAAATAAAGAGTAAAACCAATTTTATGGCTGCGCATAATTTGCGAGTAAAGCAACAGCAGCAACAAAAAAAACAAACAATAATAATAAGCAGCAAGCACAATCCACCGCCACAACAACAACAAAACCAAGAACTTTAAACTGCTTAATGGCAGCAAAGTGGTGGCCCGACTGCAACAGCAACAATCGCAGTCAGCGCATGCAACATTGCTTCGTTTGTTTTTTAGCTGCTGCCGCTGTTGTTGTGGCTCGCAAATTGCCCGTTTGCCTGGCTGGGCAAACACTCGTCGCGTCGTCTGTCGATCAGCAATCAAATGCTTTGGTTTTGTAATTCTCTTTTAGTTTTTCAATGCTGTTGGTTTGCTGCTGCCATTGCAATAATGATTGCCTTAAATGTGCTGCTGCTGCTGTTGTTCCTCGCCAACGCGCTGAATTTTGTATATTTGTTGCAAACTCTGCTGCTGCTGTTGGCGCTGCTACTGGGCCACTTTTTCCTCCGGCTAATGTTGCTCATTTTCATGTTTGCTTTTATGTTATGTTGCTGCTGCCGCTTTTGTTCACATCGTCTTTTATTGCATTGCGGCGCATTGTTGCTACTGTTTTTGTTATTATTATACATAGTTGTTGTTGCTGGTGTTGTTGCTTGTGCTGTTGTTTCTGCATTTGCCGTGCATATTGGCGCGCACGCATGTGTTTAGCATTTAATTAATTTTGCGCTAGGCCAAGCGAGTACAGCTGCTACTGCCGGTGCCACTTTGTAGGTGAATAGGCATTTGCTGGTAAATATAATCTACATACGTACTCTGTGCGTTTGTGTGTTGTATGTTTTTCCACCGTTTGTTTTCATTGCTTATTGTAGCCATTAAAGCATCGCCACCATTGGCAGCAGAGCATAACCGAACGTGTCTAATAGCACGGTGTGAAAATTTACGACACTTCGTTTATGAGTTGAGGTTCTTGCGACTTACCTACTTTTATTTTCATTGCTTTCATTGCTCTTGCTCTTTGTGGCGAATAAACTTTTTAATCTATTTTCTGCATCGATTCCGAAGGGCTATGAAACGTAATGTATTTGCATAATTTTTATTAAGAGCTAGCGCAGGGAGTTCTAACTTAAATTTTGTCCTATTTTACAGAGAATAATATGCCATTCTTGGATGGAGGTGTATTTAACCCGCGATCACTCGCTCGGGGTGTATCATATACCCCTCTACTTATAATTTTGGTTATATTTGTTTTCCTACTTGTGTCTGAACCTCGCCCGTTCTAATAACTGAGTGTAATGACCCACTTTATCAGCTGGTACACGCTGATTATTTGCGTTCATTCGGTTTGGAAAAAATTGCTTTAAAACTGGCTTGGGGTATATGCCACACCCCGCGAGTAACGACGTACATACATACTAAAACAAATTCCGGAGTGATCGCGGGTTAAAAACCGCTTCTAACATCAAGGTAAAAACTACATGTTTGTTCATGGCACGGTCAAAATGAACTTTTTGAGTGGCCTGCCAATGGTCACAGCTCTTGACAAATAATTCAGGAAACCATGGTTAAAACATTTACACTCCAACAAAATTTTGCCTAGAAAAATACGCAGTGAAACTGAAGGTAACAGTACGGTTAACAAGGCCGAAATTTGGGCAAAGTAATTTACGTGCGATAACTGGTAAATCGGAGAGCATGACTGAGGCAGTTTTAGCCCTTAACCACTTCTCTCCCTCGAACATCTTTCAATTTACAACTGTTGAACTAAAATATGAGATGTTTTAAAATTATTTATATTTGTATAAGAACAAGTGGATTTTTGTTTGATAAATAAAATATATTTCGCCATTAAATGATAAATTAGGAGTGGTAGTAGGTAGGGGTCTCCTTGACAGGGTGCACGTGGTTGTGCGATAAAAATTAGAGGTGGGTGGTTAAAAATAGGCTACACTCCATAATAAAGCAAGAAAAGCCGAAAAAAGGTATCATTCCAGCCACAAAACCTACAATAAAATGAGGAGCTTTACGGCTTGAACAATTAAATAAGCTCCCGGAGTACTGCAACATTTTCCAGGCCATTATCTATGCTGCAACTAAAGCAGCTGATTCGATTGCGAACCTAATTGGTCAAAATGCACTTGTACGAATTTTCATGGATAGCACCGTGACATAGGCGGTATATTGCGCCCCATCTTCATCACAACATATCTTTTCATTCTATATACTCCAGTAAATCCAGGAAAGCTTTTGGAGGTAGGGACTGTAAGTGCTCTCTTTGGCTACATTGGGCCCATGCTGTTCTTTCGTAGCCTCGATACGACATCACATTAAAACAGATGGTGCATTGGTTTCTCTTTAATTCAGTCGAAGAAATGACAGAGATCATTCGACCAGTTTCTCGATTTCAAGAACTGCGTCGACGCGCGATCTCCACAGAAGTTTAGAGTGCAAGATAAGACCCATATACTTAACCTCGACAGAAATAGGATACACTGCGTTAATAGAAGGATCAATATACACTGGGTGCGAAACACAAATGACTTGAGGGATCAGAGCAGGCAGATATGCCAGCCAAAGCCGGCTTCGCTAATATAATATTTAATCCAACATTGTAAGCACCTTTGTGGGACACATTCAGGACACTGTCTCGCGTGTCATAATTCAGCTTTCCGTAGATTCCGACTCAGTTCTTTTCGTCACAATGAGATCTCAGGAATCATCCAAGCTAATCTACCACACACGGTTCCTGGTACCCATATTTCAATCACAATAATTGCTCAAATAAATAATGCATACCGCAATTCAAAGAGCTTTTAATCCCTTTTTATAAATAGTACATATAGGTTTACTTGGAATATCGTAAGTCCCTAAATGATGGTAGCATTCGATTTATTGACAAATGGTAAACTCAGTAAATTTAATAGACGAGCTTGAAGGTCTAAGTGTAAAAAACATTTATTTGATTAGTGAGTAGGCACTGTGGCCAATAGTAATCATCTATTACCACCTCTGCATGGTTGAAAGCCAGATGCATCTTTGAGAGCCATCAAATTATAACTTAAGAAAGTTTTATTACATGGCAGCTGAGAAGTACATGTGAGAAAATTTCATAAATCATACAAAGAATATATTTGCTGCAAATGCAGCAGTGCATAGCATGCAATTAGGCGCGCGGGGTTAGTAGTCACGCGTAAGCACATATCAGGACATTTTTCTAAATCGATTAGTAATTGTTTCTAGGGCCGTTAGATTTTCCGGTATGCCTCCTATTCAATCATGCCAGATTGCCTACACTACCTATAGAATTTTAATCATAGAAGTGCTTGTATGTGCAATGGAACCTACAACTAAAAATATTTGCTTTTTGTTTTAAAGCCTAGCACTCGTCGTTTATTTTAAGCCCCATTTCTACTTCATTTAAAAACTGTAAATATGTATGTGCTATATGTCACCGAATTAATTATTCTCAACCGCCCTATAATTACTAATAAAACGCTTCGGCGCGCCTTATAATTAAATTTCACAAACATCGTTTGAAAGAAATGAGAAATTCTACACAGGTAAAAACTCACCTTTTAATTTGTTAAGTTGACTGCTGGTCAGGCGTTTTCTGTCTTATAAATAGTCGAGTTAGCTGGGAAATTTACAATAGTGTTTAGCTTCTGTTGTTTTGTTTTTTTTTCCAGTTTTTAATTTTTATTTATTTATTTATTTTTTGTAGTATTAATAACGGTTATGGCTCGTGCGAATGAGAAATTTTCTTTACGCCCCTTCTACCGTACACCTGTTTGCCTATTTAACATTTAATTATTTGTGCTTTGAAAGAAAATATTTGTTGTTTTTTTGCTGTTTTTTTCTACACTTTTCCGCAGAATCTTCCACTTTGCAATTATACACTCCCATAAAAGTTGACAGCTGCAAAACGTTGACAGGTATGTTATCGTGTTTATTTGCGCTTCTTTTGGTGTCGGTAGCCAAGGGAGCAGCACCTTCGAGTAAATAGGCAATTATTTTCACGCCGCGCAAATCAAATCGACACTTGGTATTGAGCGATAAGCCTGTTTATTTATTTATTTGTTGTTTTTTTTTTGCAACTTTTTTTATTTCTTTACTGTTTTGTTGGTTGGTCTAACTGCTCACTTTGTTCAACAATACAATTGGATTTGCTGATTGATTTTCAAAAATATAATTTTCTTTCATTTCAATTTGTTTTGTTTGCTTGTCGTTTCATTCGCAGGATTTAATTCAATTTCAATTATTTTTGATTTTGGACTTTGGTTTTCGCCAATCCTCTGGCGCTCGTTCACTGGCTTATTTTGATTTCCTTTGTACGCGTTGTGTTTTGACATAAATCAATTTCCAGCCAATCACAATTATATGCCACAAGTAAACACACTATGACAACAAAAACAAAAAAAAACACTACAACAAAAAC